TAGTGAGGAATTTACTCGAAAATACGGGGCAAGAGCTCACAGATTCCGTGGGATTGCGGCACAGCTGACCGCTTTTTTGGGACTTTTTTAACACTTCGCCGCACCGAAAAACAACTTAATTACTAAAAACTTTAAACAAATAAACATCGCTGTTTAATTTTATTGATTTTACAAAATAAATGATAAAAAAAGTTCAGACTACGCCACTATTTGCAATATTGTTCAATATGTTTTAAGGAATAGGAATCAAAATCTAGACCTCCGTATTAGAAAGTAAACAGCTTGACCTCTAAACAACAATCTAAGTAAGTCGTTCTCAAATAATGTTACAAGATAAAAACCATTAATATATTTACTTTCATTTCTGTGAGACATTATCACACTAAAAGCAGCTCAAATAACTTTGCCACGTAATCACCCTTTTTTTTTCAGAGGGGAATGCTTTATGCATACTCCGCGCCCCGGGGGGGGGGGGACGCGGTAGTTATGTGGGATTCTCCTCCATAGCGGAGGCATACCCACTAAACCCCTCTGTTCCTCCAACGCATCGGGACGGGACCACGGGCACGCTTTCGCTCTCGTCCGCGACCAGTAATCACCCTGACAATTTTGCATAGTCTGTCAACATAATGTGAACTTCATCTTTTTACAATCAAACTAGACATATGATAACGAGAAACCGAATTATTTATGGCAATTGGCTGATAGTTACAACAGCTATTTTGGAAGTTATCTATCAATCGTTGTCATAAATGTAATACGCTCATTCATGACACAACGCAAGGTCTGGAGACGTGTCGAATGCCTTAATTACCGCCGGTTAAGGTCCGATTACGGCGAGTTGCAAACTATGCCAACATTCAGGGTCAGTGAGGATGCACCGCAACCTTCATGTCATTTTCCTGAACACATTTATACGCACTATTTATCATGAATTTCTAAGTTCAGCAGGATTTCATGTTGAAAAAAAAATGCTTATAAATTTATACTTGTAACATAGAATTTATAAATATAAATAAATTTTAAAATGCAAACCTTGAAGTTTATAATAGGACTTTAAAGTAATCATTCCAATCGGTACTAACTCGAAGGTCTGACTCATAAGAAAGCAAGACGAACTCTAAATGTTCACCCACAAGTCTCGTTGTTTGAGCCCGCGGGTTTTATTTGACCTCGAAATGAATTCCGGTCGTCGGCTGCAGCGGACAACACAAACAGCTCTCTGTTCCGAACCGAATTATTATACAGCTTGAGCAGCAAGCGTATGCAAATCAATTTACTTAATCTCGAAACAAAACTAGCCGTAATATTGCCAAACCTAATAGCAGACAGACTAGCCCATTTAGGTATAAAGACCCTATATTTTTGATGATTTTGTTTCATCGTTTTCCAATTGTAAAAAGCCTAACAAAAGCCGGACAACCCGGATACAGTTTTCTTTGGCAATAAACAAACCTACGCATGTCCGGCTATATTCAAATGCCTGGCAAAACTAGCCATGGCCAATGACTCAGGAACTAAGTCAAGTATGTAAGTCTTCGTATACCGACTTCGTTGTACTTCTGTTACAGCCAGAAGAAGAATATGAATACAATGATTAATTGTCATTTTAAATTATTAAAGTTTTAGCAAAGTATTGTTTCAACGAGACCTTATATGTATCTAATTGATTCTAGAATCATCGGGTAATGATCTTTAAAATAAAACAAAGTAAATATATGCAGACATTAATTGGTAACAAGCCACGGTCATCGGCATGAGATGATTACAGGCACGGCGACCGGTCCCACATGAGGTCACAAAAACCTGATTTTAGTGAGACCTTACATTCGCGGAACCCGTCACCACTAGGGTCGCCACATCTTGTGAGTATGGTACAGTCGGACTACAGGTTTGATAATTAAACTTGTTTCGATCTAAACTTTTAACCATAGACAAAAACTATATACACTTTTTCTAACGTTACTATTAAAAAACAAAACTAAAATTTTTATTACATTTTACTCCTCATAATTTTCAAATTATTAAAATTAATAAAAATAACGTAATAGCCGCCATTACTTTCGTAATTATTGTTTTCTATGGACCGCAAATAATCAAGGATGGACTTTTTTCGTAATACGTTAAGAAGGTCTAAGTCACTAGAATCTAGTTTTATTGAACAGTGCGAAGAAGTTAATATATTTTTATACAAGTTCTTAACATTATGTACGCTGTAACGGTAATAGATTGGAATACCGATGCGATTCAGTTTTTGCTTGTCAATTGTGTAGGAAAAATGCCAATTACTATTGTATTATTTCTTACACGCGTATTGAGAATAGCATCTCGTTTGAAGCCTACTTAAATCAACTTGTACTTTTTAACGAACTTCTCACCATGTTAGTAATTTTTGTTACTTATTAAAGCCCTTGTTTATTTGAAAGTTTAAGGCTATTCAAACAAATGACTTTATCATTATTTCACTTGGATCAAAATAGTATAATAAATTTATCAGTTTAATAATTTCTTTGTACCTATTGTATAACAATTAAAAACTCTTGTAACTTATATTCACTTGAAATTACATGAAAGTAGCAAAACTTAATATTTTCGCACTTAATTATTAAGCCATTGTGTGAAATAAAAAAATCCATTGAACAGCGTGAGTTCGTACATAAAGTATGAACAAAGTGAACTTAAGCAATCGAGTCTTACATTGCGTTAATGTTGAATCAAACATTATCTCTGCTAATACTTATTATCTGCTTTAAACAATGTACTTATTTATTTATTAATAAGACATTAAAATAATTTATATTTAAAGATAATAAAAAATGTGATTTTACAGAGCTATACATTTAAAAACTAACAACAAAAGTGCAATTCAACTGTTGAAACTAAGATTTAATAAAAGGCACAACTATCCAAATTTAATTTCTCATAAATATGACATATTTATTATCGAACAATCTTCATATCTTCATCAGCAAAGCTTCCGTCACGTCAAGTTAACACCACTCTGCTAAGTGGCATAAAAACTCGTAAAACCCAAAACCTGATTACACCTTTGTCCGGTGATTCACAAAGGTGTAAGTTACACGTCGACAATACTTAATTATATTACTTATTATTGTACTAAAATATTAAACAATGCATTCAATTTATGATTTTAATCTTCTTTTTAATCAGAGTTAGGTACAGATTATAAGTTCTTAGGAATGGGTGTAGCTAGTTGTCGGTGTGTTGTAGATTGTTGGTAGGCTACAATAAATATTAGCTAAGCCTTTATAATGCTAAAATTAACAAGACTCGACAAGCTAGTTCGTTGGATAAATTGGTTTGTCGAAACCTGAAATTATATCCACGGCCGAATGAATACGCGTTCTAATAGATTTTACAAACAATCATTGTGTACAATTAGATTACAATATGAATAATGATAACCGACGTACATTAAAAATAGTTTAGGTTACGCTCTGTGAACCATTCGAGTAATATGTTTGAATAAACGATCAAAGTTGGGCACAAATCCTAGTGCAATTTACTAATATGTAAATATTGATTACACCTTTGTGAAATAACTAGCAGATTCCCGCGACTTTGTCCTTGCGATTTTAAAATAGTCTTAACAAATATAGCTCATATATAATTCAACAGTTTCGGAGTCTAATGCAAACAAACAAATCTTTACTATATATATATAGGTGGTGATAATATGTGTATAGGTATAGGTTTTTTTTTTAAATAAAATTATAGGATTGTTATTAATAAATAAAAAGTATTGTGTCGCAAAATATTTACGCCATTCCCACTTGCAAACATCTAAGTATTTCGTGTGTTGTCAATCAAACGTATCTGCGACTCTTATCAGTGTTTCATCATATTGATAACACGATAAGTGAACATTGTGAATAACTGAAGATAATGTTTTCATTTCAAATACAATCCCAATGCATTTATATTGATAATATCACAATATTATAAGTTATAAAAACGTTACTGACCGTCGAAATAATAGCATTTTGGCTCTTTACAATGTGTCCAAACTTAATACACAATTTTGCGATTAAATTCTTCCATATATGTAATTTGATGTTATTCATATTGTTTTACCTAGGCTAATTACAAATGAGCGGCGTTTAAAATTTGCCGGTGACACTTAAAAAGAATTTCTTAAATTCATTTGTACTGAGATTAGTTCAATCATACTCAGCTTTATTATATTAAGAAACTAGCTGTCGCCCGCAGCTTTGCGCAGAATAAAAAACTTAATTGGTAGCCTATGTGTTGTTGCAGGCTATGTTCTACATCTATGCAAAATTTCATCAAGATCCGTTCAGCTGTTCCGGAAATACTTTCAAACAAACATCCATCCATCATCTAAACATTCGTATTTATAATATTAGTAAGATTAGATAAATAGCAGGATCTGTAGCTGTATTATTATAATGGGTCCCTAAAGACTTGAAATAAATTATCTTAAGTGCTTTAAATGCACTTGGGATTATTTATTATAGAGTTTATTTATAACATATCAGACAGTAGAGCCGATATGTTTAGTTTCATCAAATGATATTACAATCTACTAAACTACGGAGTAAGTTGTTGGAAAAGAGAAATAATTTGTAATTTTATAATAAACTTTTAAATTATGTTTTTATTTCGTCATTTAGAAATATTTTAAGCGACAGGCTTCAAACATTGGCCAGACAATAAAGTTGTGCATTTCATAACGCGGCTTAGGAAATATATAATTATTACGAAAAGTCGTTTAGTCAAACCTTAACATTTAAATTCAGTTGAATCGATCACAGCGACATCTATAAAAGTGATTAAAAAAAAACTAAAACTCAAAAACCGTGTAAAGTTCGCGGTATAACAACATAGCAAGCAAACTTCAGTAAGCATCGTTTTAATTTTTTGTTTTGTAATAACAGAGTTTAAATACAAATAAATACTGTTCTTCTTAGTACAAGCGCTGAAAGAAATATTCCTTGTTGCAATATTGATAGACTTACCTCAAGTTTTTTAGAGTACTCCTCAGCGATGCGCTCTTGCTCTTTCTTGAGCTCCTCGTTCTTGTCGAGCAGCGCCTTGCCCAGCTCAGCAGCAAGCAGCAGGTCTGCTTCCTTCTGCTGAAGCTGGCGCCACACGTCGCCCTCCCCGCTCTCCCCTACCCCCACAGACTCTCTTTGCGCCGACATATCTTTCACGTACTCTGCTAGATCCTCATAAAAGTGGTCGTCAGACAAACTCAGCGCCGACGGTGTAATTCTATTTGCACTCACACTCCTACTTCTCCTATGCTTAGGTGTAGAACTTCTCCTGTTCCCTTTACCAATAAAATAAGTTTCGTCCTTCAAAAATATAGGCGATCTATCCGGCGGCTCTATCTCAGTGTTGTTATTATTTCTACTTCTACTTATATTTGCACTAGATTCACCGGCCATTTATCTAAAACAGTATATAATATTTAACTTTGCACTATTTTCGTGTAGCTATTCTTTTTAAATAACTTCTCGATCGCCTGTTGCAATTTGACGGGCTTGGGCAGTTTTACGTTTTTGAAAATGTTCGTTGGTAAATCGAAATCCTTTTTTAGAGCCATTATAGTATCCTGTACGTGTTCACTGGCGCAACATTTCCGTGTGACATACACTACACTGAACAGGCACTCGCGGCCGCTCGGCGCTCGACACACCACTCGACACAGCACGGCACAGCACAGCGCACTGTTGCCTCGACAACGGCACAGACACAACAAACTCAGCCACGACCTGCGAGGTAGAACCAGCCTTACGCGTCAAAGATTAAACACGCCAAACAGACGAGTCACTTGGTATCATTCGAAAATGAAACATTTCGTTTTATTTTAGTAATAAAATCAAATCAAGACTACGCTCACAAATTGATAAAGCAATTTGTGGACATTTGTAGTTTTTACTCTTTCATTTAATTTTTCTATAACCCCCCTATTGTACGACAAATAAGAAAATCTTTTTAAGTCCCACTAGAGAGCTGTATTTGTTGACTACAACGAATAACATACAACTTTTTCCTTTAATTAAAAAAGTGAAACAACTAAACTACCGAAAAATCTTGCTTGAAACCTACAGCGACTGCTGTGTTCGTTTAATCTTTGACATGAAAATACACGTGTGCTTAACTGAAACAGCTGCTACAGGTAGTAGGGAAAGTCTCGCGATAGACAGAGACGGACATGCTTCATCAAGGTAACGCCAGAGAGCGGCAGACAGAACCTAAATGTCGAAATACTTATTTTTATTGTTGACGAGGAAATGATCTCACGGCGATCCAATAAAAATCATTTAAATCATAAGTGGAGCAAAAAACGAAAGCCTTGATGTTAT